AAGGCCAGTTTCACACGGGCAAAAAAAAATATTACACAGTGAACTAGTAAAATTCAGGAACAAAGTTATAAGCAAATTGGATGTTCCCTTATTGTCAGGGAAGATTTATTTATCTTCATCTAAACTGTCCATTGTTAAAACAGCTAAATTTTTAGCTTAAGCTTTCAATTTTAAAAAGGATTTGCTGCAGCATTGACAGCACTCTTAACATTTCTTCTATTGATTAAATTTCGGTCACTGTACATTGAACATTGATCACCAGAAGAAGATGTTTTACAAATTGTTAAATGCAACCTGAAAGTAAATTAAAAATAGCTCAATTTTAATCTACTATTATATGAGTGGGTATAGTGTCTATCTATCGTAATTATTGCTACTCTGGTTTCAATAAATTAAGGTAATCACCACACAAAGATTAACTTCCACGACGCAATGTTTCGACACTCCGGTCTAGTGTCTTCATCAGTGGTGATCTGATCTTGAAACTCAGTTTCTTATATACTCTCAAAATGACATCATCTATCAATCAGATGTAAATATTCTTTGGCAAATAGCTTCTGTCATCTCTATTTAGGGCACAAAGACTTGCATTAAAATGACAGGCTTCCAAACAACGCTTTTGTCCATACCGATCACTAGTGGTAATGACTTTTGAATTATTCCATGCAATGTTATGGTTAGTTTGACATAGGTGTTCCACCAAGGCTGATTTTGAACTAAGTTCAAAACAGCCTTTTGTTGTTCTTTTAAATGTGTGCCGAACTGGTGTTTTGTTTCACCTAGGTATTTTTTTCTCGTAATCACCCCATGATATAGAGTATACAGCACAAGTTTTCTGTGTAATTGTTCTCTCTCAGTACAATGAAAACATCATCACGCTCGTTGTCCCTTGCATTTTATTGCAGAGTGTGGTGATAAGGCTCCGATAAGCTTAGGACACTCTTGAATTATGTGTAGCATAATGTTTACGAATATATCGAAGACTGTAAAGATTATGAGTCGGCCATTGAAGCGCTAGAACAACTCTTTGTCAAGACACCAAATGAGAAATTCACCCAGCATTTGCTTGCGACGAGGTGGCAGAAACCTGGTGAAACTCTTACTGAATTTCTGCAAGCATTCCGAAAACTTAATAAAGCTTGTAACTTAAGAAATGTGACTGCTGAACAATATCGTGAAGACTCATTTATTAACGACCTTTTATCGTCATTCATTCGCCAATGGCTTCTGGCAAATAGACAGCTTGACCTTAAAGACCACATTTGATGAAAAAATCCAATTTTTAAAGTCGTTTTTCACCATGTCCAGTGTGGTCATGGTATTCTGAGGAGACAAACAATGATAAATTTTATCCAAAAAAACTTTTATAATCAATAAAAATTGGAAAAAACAAATTTAGGGTCGTTTTTTACCATGTTCAGTGCCGTCATTGTATTTTGAAAAGATAAAAAATTTTATCCTAAAAATAATTTTATAATCATTAAAAATTGGGAAAAAAAATTTAGGATCGTTTTTCATCATGTTAAGTGTGGTTCATTATATTCTGAGAAGATGACAAATTTTATCCCAAAAACATTTTAATAATCAATAAAAATTTGAAAAAAAATTTTTTTGGGTCGTTTTTCGCCATGTTGATTGCGGTAATTGTATTCTGAGAAGAGGATGACAAATTTTATCCAAAAAAAATTTTCATAATCAATAAAAATTGGGGAAAAAAATTTAGTATTGTTTTCATCATGTTAAGTGCAGTCATTGTATTCTGAGAAGAAAATGGCAAATTTTATCCCAAAAATATTTTAATAATCAATAAAAATGAGAAAAAAAATTTTAGGTTGTTTTTCACCATGTTCAATGCGATCATTGTATTCTGAGAAGACAATGACAAATTTTATCCCCAAAAAAATTTTATAATCATTAAGAATTGCAAAAAATTAATCCAATTTAGGGTTGTCTTTCACCATGTTCAGTGTGGTCATTGTATTCTGATTTTATACGTATAATTTTTTTGGGTAGCCGCTGCGCATGCACGGCTAACCACTATGTGAGAGTTGAAAAATGTCTTAGCACGAAATAAATAAATGTCCAGATCTTCGCCGATCGTCGGATAAACGAACAGATGACGATAATACCGTTCTTTATGACTTCCGGAAAATATCGTAACTAGTTCGGAAAATATCGTAAGTTGTTATTTTGCCAAGATTAAAGATTTCGAGTTTCCACTGTGATTTCGTGGAGGTGTTGACTGCGTTGTTTCGTTTTAGCAAAGTTAAGGTAAGCTGTATTGCTTTTTTGTGGGTTTTTGTTATTTTAATCCCTTATTTATCTACTGTGGTCGAGCAATTTCGACTACAATCAGATTTTACAAGTGTACATTTCATTGTATACGGGGCAATCTTGCCCTGACATTATCTTGTCAGGCGCTCCACGTGTCAGAGTGCACGTATCGAAAAACTAAAAAAAACCGGAGCCATTGTTGCTCGCACTAGTCGTCATTATAGACCAGGGTACTATTTACATGAAAGGCCACGTACCAAAAGTGAACCTAGCCATTGTGCAGGTATTGAAATTGAACCCAGCCATTGTGCGGGTATTGAAATTGAACCCAGCCATTGTGCGGGTATTGAAATTTGAACCCAGCCATTGTGCGGGTGTATAAAACAATTAACAGCCGCAACTGCTGCTATACTCAAACAAAATAACACTGCTGACTGCTTGCTGACTTGCAGGTACATTACGAATATACTGACAAAAAAAAATCTTTAGTAATAACTAAATTAACTCGACAATTGACAATTGGTTTTGAGTTCTAGGCCACAAATATGGGTGTCACTATTGAAATTTATTGCTCCAGGATTGGTTCACACCACAATTTTACAGACCGTCGCAACAGTATGTGCCGTCTTAAAGGTAAACTTTGGAATCAAATACTATTAATGTTTTATTTCAATGTATTCTGCTTGCCTTATTTCAAAAGCCAATTGAATAAGAGCCAAAAGATTAGTGAGTTGTGCTTTTGGTATGTTCAAATGATATACTATCATGATGTTTATGTGCCATTATTACTAAAACTCTCAAATGATGTAGAGGAAAATCTAGGTCCTAGAACTTTAAATGATTTAGTTGATCCTGCCTATACAATTCATGCAGATTTTAATCAAGGTAATGATTTAATGTTTGGTATGAGTGCTGGTAAACAGTGTGTAGCCATGTCATATGCAATTGTTTACAAAGAAATTAAATCAGTCAATATTTGGGATAGATCAATTCTAAACACAGTTTTAATAAATGGAAACAGTTTGTATGGTGTTATCAGTCAAAGTATAAATAGGAGTTATTTATTATTAACTGATGTCCCTGAGTTTGTTGACATAGACAATCATACCTTTAATTTTCAATACAGTGATTCCTTTTCAGGAGCATTATACATGAGTGAAAATAGTCTCCCATTTGTGACACTTGAGCATGCTTTAAATGAAATATTTTATTCATTAAACTATAAAAGTTGTTTACTTACAATTGGTATGAATACTGTGGCAATTATGATGCCTTTTCCTGGTGTGTTTAAAGTGTTTGATTCACATTCAAGAGATCTATCTGGTAAACCATCTGCATTGGGTTATTGTGTTTTAATATCAGTGGAAGGAATAGAAAATCTTGGAGAGTATTTTCGATTAACATCAATGTTCAATGAAGCAAGTAGTGTATTACCATTTGAGTTAAAGGGTATAAAGTGCATCCATAATCATGATATGGAAACAGTATTGTCTACAGAAAATTCTACAAATTGTGGTATGGTTGATGTAGGTTCTGCTGAGCTATTTGAACAACATAGTGTAAACACACAAGAACTGAACAACAAAAGGAATGGTCAAACATTTAGAGAAAGGGTACAAACTAATGAGTTAACTGAAGAAAGTGAAGCTAGACTTGAAAAAATCAGTAAGGATAATAATGCCAAAAGAACAAAAAGACAGAATGAGTCAACAGAGCAAAGAGAAGCTAGACTTGCAAAAATGAGAGATTATAATAATTCTAGAATACTAAATGAGTCAACAGAGCAAAGGGAAGCTAGACTTGCAAAAATGAGAGATTATAATAATTCTAGAATACTAAGAGAGTCAACAGAGCAAAGAGAAGCTAGACTTGCAAAAATGAGAGATTATAATAATTCTAGAATACTAAATAAGTCAACAGAGCAAAGAGAAGCTAAAAGAATACTAAATTGGGGGGGTGAACAACGAAAATTTACCTGAAATTTACCAAATTAATTATTGTACATGAAAAACTGTGATGTAATTTTAAAGCCGAATAGAGCACCTAAAATACCATGTACATGACCATCAATGTGCATGGAAGATAAAGTGGCCAGAGGGTTCCAAGACTTTTTTATTGAAAGAGGGGTAGTAAGAATAATACTTATTGTGGAAAGGAAGGGGCCTGAATGCATATATAATTTAGGTTGATAAACTGCCCATGCACAGATGCACTTAATTCGCATTCACGAGCAAATGAGCAACTGAAACAAGTTTCTCCCACGTTCCACTAAAATCATCACGCTGATGTTGTCATTACAGTAAAATACCAAACCCTACTTATCACACAGTATTTCTGTGACTACATCAATAAATCACAATCACTAAGTTGACAGTTGTTCTGTAAATTCTTCATTCCCATGCAGTTATCAAAGTTTATATTAATACAAAAGATTTACAGTTTCTGCCAGTGGCGTAGCCAGCCTGACGATTTTGTCCCGCTATGTAAATTTCGAGTTATTATAATGATTTATGTCTTTAGAAATCTATTGTTTTCACAGTCAGTGAACACTAAAATATTAGCATAGCGGGACAAATCGACAGGCTGGCTACGCTACTGGTTTCTGCCGCCGCCTGTCTTTCAAAAGGGACCATTTCAAAGCTAGTTTTTTCAGGTCGAGTTGGTACGACAAGTCTTTCCATTGCGAGTACAATGCAGGATTGCAACCGTGCTCCAGACATGCTGCTTCAAAGGTAGTTTTTCACCCTTTTTAATGCGCTGAAGGTTCTTTCATTCTTGCAAACTGACGGGGCAGCTGTTAGAAAAAGCTGGTAAACTCTCGACACATATTTAAAAAGACCATGCTGCCTTGCCAACTCAAGAGCGATATCTGCAGCTTTCGATATCTCAGAGTGTTGTCTGCCAATGTCATCGAAATCACCACACTTTCTTAGCTCATCGATGTGCTGAAAGAAAACTTTGAATTCATTGTACAGGGTTGCAGACACGTCCGATGGAAATACAGAGGGTAATGATGCGGCCAGCATCTTGACATCTTCCATGTTGCCAGGGCCTTTGGGGTCCATAACTTTCAAAAATGGCTGAAAAACACTTGCAAGGGATTGGTACTTTTCTCTTAAGGTTGAAATCAGGAAATCAAGAAACTTAAAAAACTCACATCTGTTAAACGAGGTTATATCGCAAAATACTGGCATTGCTGTGGCAGGATTATCGTCTAAACGGTGTGACGGTCTTCTTACTGGATGTAGCCTTAGGAAATCAGCGTCTGGGTCTGTCCCAAGATTGCTTGCAACTATTATCGCCGCTTCGATTTCGTTGTTGATTTCATTATCGTCGGCCCGCACTCTTTTCAAAGTTTCATTAGTTGAACTTAAGGCAATCAGTGCACCCGCAACATTGATGTTTTCGCTTTGTAAATAATCAGACAGCATCTTTGCTTTAAGCATGATATTTTTCAAAAGCATTAGCCCGCATATAAAGTCAATGTTGCACGTTGCATTGAGAAGACCAGACGCCTTTGTCTTCGTTTCTTGGTCTTTTGAACCTTCAAGACACATGAAAGCATCGAGAATAGCTTCTAAACTTCGCCAAATAGCTTGTACTGATTCTTCAGTGCGTGCTGCCCATCTGGTTTTCGAAAGGTTTCGAAACATCAATACATTTTCAACTTCCTCGAGTTTGTCCACTAGGGTCTTATTACGTTTTGTGCTTTTCGTGAAAAAGACAAACACTTGCTCTAGTACATTAAATACCTTAGCAATCAAAGACGATGCTTTGCAACCATGTTCTATGACCAGATTGACGCCATGAGGTACGCATTTCGTATATGGTATAGTACGACCCAGAATTTCACTTAACTTTCGCTGTGCTCCGTTGTAAACACCTGACATACTGGATGTCGAGTCATACATCTGGAATTGAACTGCTGCGAGTGGTATATCTGCGCTTTTTAGGCAATCTACAATATCTTTCGCTTGCCCCTCACCTGTTTTATCATGTGTCTCTTTAATGCAAATCAAGCGCTCTTCGGGTTTCAAAGAATCCGGGTCGACAAAGGGCGAGGCCATTTCTTGTCAGAACGAGGACAATATGATCAAAATCTCAACCACTTCTCTATTTTTAATGCGACCATTCTCAAACTCGACCATTCTTTCCCGTTCTTCTTTAGTGAGTAACTTGTCAACATGTTTGTCGTTACGAACGAAATGGAGGTAATCTTGAAGAGCTGATGCATGGGCTGCACTGGCAAAATGCGTTTCCAGTTTTCCTGCCCTATTCCTTCCACGACTTCCCTTCATTTTTGACCAGTCAGCAACTCCGAAAACCCATGCTGATTCCGCCTTTTCACCCCCTAAACCTCTTTCAAATAGGCTGCAAACATAACAAAAGGCTAAATTTTTTTATGTGCTGTACTCCAGGTACGGGTATTCTTTATACCATGTGGGACAAAAAGAAGACTGTTTCCCTTTCTTTGTTAGATCATCGTTTTTCGGATACGCAGACAATTTCGGCTGGCATGGCCCAATACGAATCAAGTACTTAATTTGGGTTTCCGTCAGTTTTTCTGGCCGTTTCGCTGGATCATGATCAACAAGTGTTCCTTGGTCTGATGTGCTAAATGATTCACTGGGAATATCAGCCATTTCCTTCAGTTGGATTTCAGCAACATCATGAGCTTGTTGTGTTAGAAATAGTATTTCTTCACAAGTATCTTTGACTTCCGTGAAAGCGGATTCATAATGAATTACATGGCTGTTTGTATCACCTGTAATTAAATTTACAATTTTCCCTGAGCAGTTACGCAGCTGGCCTAAACATTCAAAGAATAATTCTGACAGAGGTTTAACTTTAACAGGACTATCTTGTGAAATTGTAGGCTCTTCGACAACTTCGGATGACTGAGGTACAAAAACGTGTTTGTCATCAGTTTTGGACTCAATAGTTTCCATAGAATCTGAAATTTCTGGTGAAACACAGGGTGATGATACAGCGCAATATTGTTGTTCCACTGGGTTTGAGAATACTCTTTGTGGATCAAACAGCAAACTTGTCAGTTTGTCTACGTTGCTGTTTATAGTTGAGCTCATCGACATCTCTCCACTTTCTAAATGCTCATTGTGCAAATTATCAACTTGTTCTTCCAATGGGTGTAGAGATTGTGATTCAACATTTTCCTCAACATTTTCAACACATAATTCGGAACCTGCTAATCCAGCACAACTCTGCTCTGGGGGAACGAGCTCCGTTTCATGATATTCTTCCTATTATTAATTTAAGATTTTTGAGATATGAGTTGATTATTCTCGCATTGAGAATTTATATAACACCTGTCAAATCATATGGTCACAAATGTGTCATGATATAGATAAAGACAGAGTTTATCTCTGCAAATGCGACATTTGCAACACAGTGTGACTGTGTCGCGACTATATAGCAACCAGGCTTAAGGCATAGAGCATCGTCTTGCTTAATTTTACCTGACTCTTTCTGTCATCCACTTTAAAATTCAGTAGCGTTTGACCCCTTTCAGAAATATCTCTGAAGGATGGAGTCTGGCCATTATGTTTAGTTCTTTGGTGATATCTTGTATTGTCAGCATTCAACACTTTATGACAACGTAAACATACGACTCTCTTTCTGTTGGATCTACTGCCGTCCACTTTTTGGCGTTTCAGCTGATCTGTAGCACCACGCAAATCACTTTATTTTAATGCTATTATGTTGTAGTATAAAGTTGTTACAGCAGCAATAGATTCGACAAGTCACGGTCATAACCTTTCTATTTCATACGTCTGTATTTTAATCACAGACATTCACCGTAATATTTTACGGAAATTCAATGCGTGGTGAATAGCATTTTTAATATAAGTAATACAACTTTAATTAATACTTACAATATGACTTCGACAATCGACGAACTTACCGTTCATGATTATTCATATGTCGATATTCTTATGAACAGAATTAAGCAAACACTTGACTTTAGAGTAATTTAATTCATGGCGGAATATTTTGCATAATTATTATACCACAGGTCACCTGAGAAAAATGCCCGTTATATACAACAAATAATATTGTCGTCCTTGCTTGTTTAATTTTTACCTTTTAGCGATAGATTTCTATAACATATCGCTATATACCTTAGTATTTTGTTTTTCCACACTTTCTCAAGCACGAATTTACCTGAAATTTTTGTTTAAAAATTTACCTGAAAAGTTTTATCAAAAATTATTGGGGAGGTGTGACACCCCCCCTAGCCCCCCCAGTCGCAACAGCCCTGTAAATTAGTCAACGGAGCAAAGAGAAGCTAGACTTGCAAAAAGAAGAGAATATAATAAAATATAAATCGAAAAGAAAGAAAAATTAAATAATGAGACCATTCAGCAAAAAGGAAGCTAGACTTGCAAAAAAATAATGACAAAAAACAAAAAGAGCTTGTAGAAAAAAAAAACTCTGCAAAGCAGTACGAGACAAAAGGTAACAAATCGCATTCAGTGAGAATTGTTACAGATGCTGTAAATTACTTGCCCAGTGAAAATATTCATACATTTGCACTTGTTAAAAAGTTTCATAATTTTGTATCTAGAGGATTTTTGTATGTTTGCACTTGCTGTGATCAATTATGGTATAAACATTCTGTCTCCCCTGCAGACAGAGTAAAAATGGTCAGTCCTGATATAATCAAGTATCTGCAAAATATAAAAAGTGTGGATAACATTGAATGGGTTTGTCAAACCTGTAACAATTACTTAATGAAAGGGAAAGTTCCCCCTTGTGCAATTGCCAATGGCATGAAATTTCCAGAAAAACCATCTTTCTTTGATCTGAATGAACTAGAATGTCGACTTATTGCTCCTCGACTAGCATTTCAAAAGATTTTTCAGGCCCCAAGCAAGGGGTGGTCAACTCAAGATTACTGGTAATGTTGTCAATGTTCCAGCAAAAGTAAATAGCACAGTAAATGTGCTTCCTAGATTATCAGATGAGACGTAAATCTGAGTTAAGAAGATCTGATCGACGAGCTGCCATGTGTGTTGAAAATATATTCTTCAAAGCTAAAAAATACAAATGAAATTTTTGATTGGTCAGTCACAGGTTGCTCTCCGAAAAAACAAAATAGGTAACAGAACACTTACTGCTGGAGACCTAAAAACTACAGAAGGTTTACAAAGTTTAATAAACCATGATGATGGTTTCAGATTTATGAAAACTCTCAGGGATTCACCGCCTTATTTTGAACGAGCAAAAAGGACTTGTTTGCTATGATTCGCCAGTTGGGACCAGCATCATTATTTTGCAGTTTCTCATCAGCAGAAACAAAATGGAATCACTTATTAAGAATTCTCGGTAAACTTATTGATCACAAGGAATTTAGTGATGAAGAATTAAATAATCTTACTTGGGAGGAAAGGTGTCGACTGATTCAAAGTGACCCAGTAACCTGTGCAAGACATTTTGATTTTCAGTTCAATACTTTCTTAAAAGATGTCTTAATGAGCAAACGTGCCCCATTAGGCAAAATTAAAGATTGGTTGTATAGAGTTGAGTACCAACACCAAGGGTCACCTCATATTCATATGTTGATATGGCTTGAAAATGCACCTGTGTTTGACAGCATAATTACCTGTAACAAACCAGAAGATGATATGGAAATACTCAATCTTGTAAATAGACAGACACACAGGCATTCTCATACTTGCAGGAAAAAGTCTAAAAATATTTGTAGATTCAACTATCCACAACCACCAATGAGATGTACTCAGATTCTTTATCCACTTGATGAAGATACTTCTTCAACTGCTGCTAAAGCCAGCAAAGAATTGTGGAAAAATATTAAAAGTAAACTAAATGATTTCAAGGAAGGTAAAGACATTACCTTTGATGAACTACTACAAGATTTAGATGTTTCAGAACGTCAGTATATCCTTGCTGTACGATCATCTTTGAATACTCCAACAATCTTTTTGAAAAGAAGTCCAAATGAGTTAAGGATTAATAATTACAATCCTGTTTGTCTTCGAGCATGGCGAGCAAACTTGGACATTCAATATGTCTTAGATGTATATGCATGTGCAATGTATATTGCATCGTATATTTCCAAAGCCCAAAAAGGAATGAGTGATTTACTTCGTAAAGCTTGTGCTGAAGCAAAAGAATGGAATACTAATATCAAACAGCAAGTTCGTGATATTGGCAACCAATTTTTTAACGCTGTTGAAATAACAGCACAAGAAGCAGTGTATGTTGTTCTGCATCTTCCAATGCGAAAATCTTCACGTAATGTAATTTTCATTAATACATCTCCTCCTTCTGAAAGAGTCGAATTGCTTAAACCGTTGAGTGAAATAGAGAAAATGGCTGATGAATCGGAAAAAATTCAGTCTGGAGGTCTTTTAAAAAGATATGTAGAACGACCTGATTGTTTGCAAAATGTGACACTAGCTGATTGGGCAGCATGGTACGACTCTTGTGGTCAACAGACATATAGAAAAACAAACAAGTCTGATGTTGATAAACTTCCATTAAAAAATGATGATGAAGATAATGACGATGAATTACCAAATGACGAAATCTAAATGGTAAGCTTCTGGAAGTAAAAATGTAAGAAAAGATCTCGATCTAGAGTAATCCGAAGTGTCTGGTTTAATAAAGAGGCACAACCTGAAAAACATTATCGGGATTATATGCTATAATCTTGGCAAATGAGCAAACGATTTGTTGAGAAATTTTTCTTCTTTTGAGGAGCACTATTTAGCTCGATATGATGAAATAAGCAAATGGAGCAATATGCTGTTTGTAGTGAAGACTTAAATGAAACTGGACATAATTTTGACGAATGTGATGATGCTTTTGATACAATAGCACCTGTGACACAAGATGTTGAACGACATGATCAGGACCAAGGATGCGTGGACACACATCCAGATTTAAACGAAACTTTTGTAGAAAATCATCTTGCAGAAAATTTGGGTATACCGTCTTCTTTACCAAATAATGAACCGCTCATCTTAAATGAAATGCAAGATAACGAATATTGAGCTTTAGTTCAGATGCTGAATAAGAAACAAAGAGAGTTTTTCTATCATGCTCTGCATTTGATAAAAACATCAGATAAACCATTTTACGCATTTCTCAGTGGAAGTGGAGGTGTTGGAAAGTCTCACCTTATTAAATCGATATACCAGGCAGCATTGAAGTATTACAATACACAAGCGGGAGAAGATTTTCATCGTGTTCATATGTCATTGCTTGCTCCGACAGGAAAAGCTGCATATCTTATAAAAGGAAACACGATTCACAGTGCCTTGCGCATTCCAGCTAGTCAGTCCCTGAAAAATTATAAACCATTGGATTCTGGCAGATTAAACACAATGAGACTGGAACCGGGTTCATTAAAGTTAATATTACTTGATGAAATATCAATGGTTGGCAACAGTATGTTCACCATTCAATTAAACAACCGTTTGAAAGATTTAAAAGGTAGCAAAGAAGATTTCGGCGGTGTCAGCATAATCACAATTGGTGACTTATTTCAACTAAAACCTGTGATGGATAGTTATATATTCACTGATGTTCAGTGCTTAAATTCTTATGATATTCTTGCCCCAAACTTATGGAGGAAATATTTTAAAATGTTTGAGCTCGATGAAATCATGAGACAGAGAGAAAGCAAGATTTTCGCAGAGATTCTCAATCGACTTCGTGAAGGTAATCATACTCCTAGTGATCTTAAAAAACTGAAAGAGAGATGCGTTGAAGAGAATATGTGTCCAAGAGACGTCCCAGGTTTATTCATTCAAAATGCTTTAGTTGATGAATATAGTCATAAAGTTTATCAATCATTCAATTATGGTGATAAATACGTAATCAAGGCACAAGATAGCGTCATTGGAGCCTGTTCAACTGAACTCAAGGAAAAAATAATCAGACAAATACCACATGTTCCTCTGAAAAATTCAAAACAGTTGGCTTATAAGCTACATATTGCAGTCGGACAACGAACAGAACTTGCGATCAATATACGTACTGATGATGGACTAACAAACGGGCGAAACGGCGCAAGTAATGTCATTAAACATATTCAGTTGACCAACGATACCAAACCCTCTGGCCTCGTCTGCGTTCAGTTTGACTGCGAAGATGTTGGGAAAAAAACTCGACAAGAAAATAGAATGTTATATGCGGGAGGTACATGCATACTAAGTAGTTGGACACCTATTAAACCGGTTACAACGCAATTTGCTGTAGGTAAAACAAAGTCTGCTTAAGTGGTAAGAAATCAATTTCCCTTAAGACCAGCGTCTGCTAAAACTGTTCATAGATCACAAGGTGATACTCAATCACAAATCGTCGTTAATTTGAATACAAGAAGAGCAATTCCTCATATTCACTACGTCGCTCTAAGCAGAGTAACAACAATTGAAGTACTATGTATAACTGATCTGTGCGAGAGTAAGATTTCTGTTGATCCTAAAGTCGTACAAGAAATGCAATCGCTGAGAAATGAGTATAAATTAGATCTTTGTTTTACTCCTTTGTACATGCTGAATCACACTGATATTAAAATTTGTCATCTCAATGCAAGATCTTTGCACAAGCACATAGAAGATGTACGAAAAGATATTAATTATTCCTCAGCCGACATCATAATTTTTACTGAAACAAGATTTAGTTTACAAGATCCTGATGAAATGTATGCAATTGAAGGTTATGAGTTATTTAGAAATGACGAGATTTCAAATGTTAACCGTCCATATCACAGAACAGCTGTTTATTCCAGAATTCCCATGATGATTGGATACTCTTGTGCGAAAAACTGTCATGGGATCGAGTTAACTATGATGAAGACAGTCCAACGCCCAGACTTAATTGTAATTGGAATATACAAATCTCCAAGACTTGTATTATCATCTCTTTTTTTGTTGCCACTTTGGAGGAAAATCCTTCTACACAAGTTATAATCATTGGAGACTTTAATGTTAATTGGCTTGATGAGGTAGAACAAAGATTATTATACAACCTTATGATCAATGAAAATGGCCTTGACCAACTTATATCTAGCTGTACAACAGATAATAGGACAAATTGATCAATGTATACGAATTTGATTGAAGAAGATGAAGCAGAGAAACTTACTTTAGTGATCACAAATCAATTTGGGCTTCCGTTAAGGTAAGAAAGTAATGACACGCAAACATCACATGTTTACAACAATAAGTTGTTGAAAAGTAAAGAAATACCATAGTATAACATGGTTAGATCAAACCAGGCCAATATTTATTGGTTTATTTTATATTTTGACATAGGTAATTGGAACCATATTGTAGTTCTTATATAGTTATAAGTTAATTTGTAACAATTGTCTGAATTAGACAAACTAGAGAAAAAAAAGGACGTTATGTGTATGTGGGCTAAAGGGGAACATAATGAGTAATTTGTTGAATGGTTAATTGCGAATTGAGGGGCGTAGAAATAGAAATAAAAATAACCAGATGGGGTAGTTTGGAATTTGTTGGACAACCGCCAACCATGTGGTGTGTTTGAAATAAAATTTTTTTAAAGAGGGGTTTTGTTTGTTTATGATGGAGTTCTTCAAGAAACTATGTAGTTGCGTTTGTAGTAATAGGTTGTGTAGCGTTATTGGTGGTGTTTAAGTCAAGGTTATGTAAGGAGGTAGGTAGAAAAGTAAAACAGAAGACAAGAAGGCAAGCGTGCGAATCAGTATCCCCGTACGCGGCGTTTCATCCTTTTGCGGACTCGTCAGCGGGGAGCAGGGTTGGCTTTGTGTGAAGGAACAATGAAGATAAGAAGTGAGTAAAAGTGGTGTGTGTTTGTAGGAGAATCATAAAGAATCAAGGTTAAGTTATCAAACCTGCGTGAGAGTGTATTCGTAAAAGGCAAAATGGTAAAATTAAACTGTGTGTCTTACCAAAGTTGTTGTTGACTTTAGATAAACCAACGCGGTGAGCCATCTCAGGGTTGATGTGAAATCGAGTGTAATTTTACTTAAAAATTGTTTTGAATTGCTTGACAGCAGAGCTTGTGTTCGAGCTTGTATCCGTTCAAGAGACTTGATCGAAAAGGGGTCAAGGATTGCACGTGTGTGCATAAAATGCGTTAATATGTTACGTCACTGAGGTCAGGTGTCAAAGTCTGTGTTGGGGATAGTGGGGGTTTACGTGTCAATTATGGTTGTGTGTGGACATCCGAGGTTTAAATGTGTTTTGGTTGTAAGTTGTACTTCATGTAGTATGGTTGGTTATAATTGTTGAAGTTCCGTTTTATCACCGTAGTCATGAAATAAAAAATTGGGTTGAAATGTTTGGATTTTTGGCGAGGAATTACAGAATTACAGTGCAATATCGTCATCTGTGGGTAGTAAACTACCCCGGGTCTAAAAACTTCCGTGGGTCGATGTTCGGCGATGCATCAACCGTGAGGGTTTCAATCGTGAATAGGGTTATCAATTTGAGGTAGTCAAGGTTTTTAAGGTTTGTATTTTGAAGTTTTATGATAAGCTTGTAAAACGTGCATATAATTGTGAGTGTAAGGTTGTAGGTATATAGGTATCATTATTTAGTAGGTGTTTAAATTATCATCGGTAATTAGAAGTCAACGTGGACGTTGTCATGCGTTTGAATTACTATAACTATATATATATATATACAGCATATGGATAGCGGATTGTACATTATATTACATAAGGATTGTTCAACGTGACTACATTATCCATGACCATGTTCATGTGGTTTGATTTGAAGTGTATTTAATCCGTGTGGTTGAACATTTAGGTTTTGTTCGGGCATCTGGTCATATTTATGGCTTAATTCTGCTAAGGACAAGTATTTTTTTAAAAAAATAATTCTATACTTATGTCCGCAGGATGCCCAGGATGCCAGATTTGATGTGACTGGTTAAGTCATGTAGTTTTGTTGTTTTCACAGGAGAGTGCCACAGGGTTTGCTTGTCATGTGTTAATTGGTTCTTGCATGTTCTCACTTGTAACCCAGTGTGTCCCAGTAAGTTCTTTGGTTTGTTATATCCACTCTGGTGTTTTCAAGGTGGTATTCAGATACAATGTCAATTGGGAGTGGTCAAAATTTTTTTGTATCTGTGTTTAGGATGGTGTGGAGGTTTTTGGCTGGTTTTGGTTAGGTTTGGGGTTGATGGAAGGCCTGGGGGATTTGGGTTATGGGATGTTATTATGTTTGGTTAGCGTTGTGTCTGGTATTAAGTTTTGCTGTGATAAGTGTGTCTCTCAGGTTAGTATTACGTTGGTAGGCTACAATTGGAGGTTCTTGCCATAGACTCCTCAGTGTGGGGTCATTCTCCAATATGTTCCAGTGTTTACGTAGGATGTTTGCAATGTATTTTGTGTTTGTGTTGTATGGAATGGAGAAAATTGGGCGGCTTGTGTTTTTTTGGCTTTGTTTCCTATTGAGTAGGTCTGTTTGGGTGTATTGTAGGGCTTTGTTGAAGTTGGTGGTGATGGTGTCGTGGTCATATCCGCGATGGATCAGTGCAATCAGGAGGTGGTTTAGTCGTTGTTGTAATTTGTTGTTGTCTGTAATTATGCGTCTGTATCGTAGAGCCTGACTGTAGATGACTGCGTTCTTGCATGTGGTGGGGTGGAATGAGCTTTTGTGTAGTAGAAGGGTTTTGTCAGTTGGTTTAATGTACAGGTCTGATTCCAGTTTGTTGTTTTTGTTTTTGTAGATAGTTGTGTCAAGGAAGTTGACAGATTTCTCAGAGAAGGAAAAGTCAAATTTGATGGTAGGATGAAATTGTTTATGTATTTAAGGAATTTTTCCAGTTTGTCAGTGCCATGTGTCCAAATTGCAAATATGTCATCTATAAATCTTATCCATTCAATAGGTATAAGATTTTCAGGAGCTTGTTGGAGGAGCTCCTGTTCAAGTGCTGCCATGAATATGTTTGCATAGGTAGGTGCCATTGGTGATCCCATAGCAGTGCCATGAATTTGTAGGAAGTGTTCGTTGTTAAAAGCAAAGGCGTTCTTCTTAAGTACAAGGGATAGGATGTCATGAACTAGTTCCATTTCAGGGGTAATTGTGTTGATTTCTTTCAACATGTCTATACAGGCTTGGATGCCTTGATCATTAGGTATGTTGGTATAGAGACTTCTTACGTCAATAGTAATAAGTATGAACTTGTCTGGTAGTGTGTTATTCTGAGCAAATATCCGGCATAGAAAGTCTGTAGTGTCCTGGACATATGATGGTATGTGTTGTAGGAGTGGTTTGAGTAGATGGTCAGCATATTGAGAAAGCTTGACTGTTGGTCCACCACAACCGGAGATAATAGGTCGACCTGGAATGTTAGTTTTGTGTATTTTGGGTAAAAGGTATAGTTGTGGTGTCCTGGCTTGATTGTCAATTGTGAGATATTTAAATGTTGTGTTGTCAATGGCCTTAGATTTGTGGAGTTTGTGTGCTAGGGTTTTGGTTTCAGTTAGAATTTCAGGGGTCGGGTCATGTGTTAGTTTCTGGTAGTGTTTCTCATTATAAAGTTGTCTATATGCCTCAGTAAGATAATCTTCCATTGGCCATATCACAATGGCTCCTCCTTTGTCTGCTGGTTTGATTATTATATCATCCTTTTTTAGATCATGGATGGTTTTAAGGCTTTGTGAGGATAAGTTGGTTTTTGTAGTTTGTTTTTGTGTTCCAAATTCAATTTTGAGATCGTAGAGTACATTTGATATGTATTCTAACAGGTTGCTGTTGTCGGGGTTTGGTGCTGTGAAGTTACTGGGTAGTTTAAATGGATGTTTTTTAGTGTCCTTTCTGTTTCTGAAGAAATATTTATTGTACATGCTTTTTTTATATTTCAGAAAAGAGGCATATATGGTCTTGTATGGTGTGTGTTTGGGTGTCGGGACAAAGGTAAGGCCTTTCGACAGGGTTTTTTGTGCTTCCTGTGAGATGGGTTTGTTAGAGAGGTTAAATAGTATTGTGTTGGGAGTTATATTTGAGTTTTTTATGTAGTTTATTTTTGCTTTTGTGTCTGTTGTTATTTGTGTTCCGTTGTGTTTTCAAATATTTTAGGATGTTTCGTTTGTTGTAATTGTTTGTATCTGTGTTGAGTTTTATCTGTTTTTTTGTTATTTGTGGTGTGTGGGTTTGTTGCGTCTTAGAAAATCCAGGATTTGTTGTTGTGTGTTGTAGTTCAAGTGAGATGGAATGTTTATGTGGGGTGCTGATTGTTGTTCATTGTTGTTTCGTTGATGGGTTCGGTGTCTGTTGTTATTAGGTTGTCGATAGTGGGTTGGTATTCGAAGTTGTGGTGTTCTTGTTACTGTTGTTGTGCTAGTACTAGTTGTTCCGGGTTTGGTGGTGTGGGGTGTGGGTTTGCATAAGGGGTTTTGGTTTGTGTCTGTTGGTCGGTGTGTGTGTGGGTTTGTTGGTTGGTTGGCTGGTTGTTCTGTATGGTGTCCTATGGGGTGAGGAGGTTGTTGGAGTGATTCTGGTATTTGTGTTGTTAAGTCGTTTTAGTTTTATGTTGCGATTGTGGGATGGTGCTAGGCAGGCTTGTTTTGTGTATTTGGTTGCAATGGCGTCTGTTTGTTGTAGTATGTTGTTGGCAGTCGTTGTGTCACATTTGTTGTTGATTTGTGCAGATTTGTGTTGTATTTTGAACTCTGTGTTTGTTATTTCCTGTTTGTGATAGTCAATGGTTACTGTCAGTAGTTCTTGTGAGGCATTCATTAAGATGTCCTCCATCTTTGTCGTAGGTCTTTGTTCAGGTAGTGTTTGCTTTTGTGTGTGATTTCTAGTCCAGGGGGTAGTGTCTGTGCTTTTTTGTGTTCTTCCAGTTCGTCAAGTGTGCATTTGAGTTTGGATAATTTGGTTTTCTGTGTGCTAATAATGCGGAATGTTTCCAGGAGGTGTGGTGGTATGCTGTTGGGGTTGGGAATGGATTGTGGTTGGTCATTGTGTGGTGTGGTGTTGGTTGCGATTTCGGGGTTAGTTGTGATTTGGGGTGTGTTGTTTGTCTCTGGGTTTTCGTCTTCTTTGTTTAAAAGTTTTTGTTTTTCCTTATGTAGGCCTTCTATTATTGAATCAGTTTCCTGATCGGATATGATCAATTTGTGGCCAAAATAAGGGAGGTGTCCAAGTCTGTTATGTCTCCGTCGTCAGTCTGTAAAAATTCGTTTATTTGTTCCTCGACATGTCCGGTGAGGGTGGGGGGTTGGTTGGATGGGCATGGTTAGTGTCAAGGGTGGGGATTGCGTTGTCAGGGTTATCAATCAACATATTCTGGGGGTCGGTTAGGTTTTGGTAGGGTTTCGGTCGGGTTGCTTCGATTTTGGAGTTGAATGGGACTTTTTAAAAATTAAGGTTATCCTTTGTGAGTAATAGTTCCATTGAGTAGTGATCGTTGTGTTTGTTAGTAAGTGTGTTAGGGGTGTGTGAATAAACAAGGGGGACTGTTTTCTGGTTAACTGTATGAGATTGATTCAATTGTTACAACTAGAACTAAACAATATGGCGAGCTTGGTGGCGCTCTCTCCGTTCCCTATAGGGGTATCACAATGTTTATTTAATTTTGACATAGGTTAATTGGAACCATATTGTAGTTCTTATATATAAGTTAATTTGTAACAATTGTCTGAATTAACAAACTAGAGAAAAAAAAGGACGTTATGTGTATGTGGGCTAAAGGGGAACATAATGAGTAATTTGTTGAATGGTTAATTGCGAATTGAGGGGCGTAGAAATAGAAATAAAAATAACCAGATGGGGTAGTTTGGAATTTGTTGGACAACCGCCAACCATGTGGTGTGTTTGAAATAAAATTTTTTTAAAAGGGTTTTGTTTGTTATGATGGTTCTTCAAGAAACTATGTAGTTGCGTTTGTAGTAATAGGTTGTGTAGCGTTATTGGTGGTGTTTAAGTCAAGGTTATGTAAGGAGGTAGGTAGAAAAGTAAAACAGAAGACAAGAAGGCAAGCGTGCGAATCAGTATCCCCGTACGCGGCGTTTCATCCTTTTGCGGACTCGTCAGCGGGGAGCAGGGTTGGCTTTGTGTGAAGGAACAATGAAGATAGAAGTGAGTAAAAGTGGTGTGTGTTTGTAGGAGAATCATAAAGAATCAAGGTAAGTTATCAAACCTGCGTGAGAGTGTATTCGTAAAAGGCAAAATGGTAAAATTAAACTGTGTGTCTTACCAAAGTTGTTGTTGACTTTAGATAAACCAACGCGGTGAGCCATCTCAGGGTTGATGTGAAATCGAGTGTAATTTTACTTAAAAATTGTTTTGAATTGCTTGACAGCAGAGCTTGTGTTCGAGCTTGTATCCGTTCAAGAGACTTGATCGAAAAGGGGTCAAGGATTGCACGTGTGTGCATAAAATGCGTTAATATGTTACGTCACTGAGGTCAGGTGTCAAAGTCTGTGTTGGGGATAGTGGGGGTTTACGTGTCAATTATGGTTGTGTGTGGACATCCGAGGTTTAAATGTGTTTTGGTTGTGAGTTGTACTTCATGTAGTATGGTTGGTTATAATTGTTGAAGTTCCGTTTTATCACCGCAGTCATGAAATAAAAAATTGGGTTGAAATGCTTTGGATTTTTGGCGAGGAATTACAGAATTACAGTGCAATATCGTCATCTGTGGGTAGTAAACTACCCCGGGTCCTAAAAACTTCCGTGGGTCGATGTTCGGCGATGCATCAACCGTGAGGGTTTCAATCGTGAATAGGGTTATCAATTTGAGGTAGTCAAGGTTTTTAAGGTTTGTATTTTGAAGTTTTATGATAAGCTTGTAAAACGTGCATATAATTGTGAGTGTAAGGTTGTAGGTATATAGGTATCATTATTTAGTAGGTGTTTAAATTATCATCGGTAATTAGAAGTCAACGTGGACGTTGTCATGCGTTTGAATTACTATAACTATATATATAAATATATATACAGCATATGGAAGCGGATTGTACATTATATTACATAAGGATTGTTCAACGTGACTACATTATCCATGACCATGTTCATGTGGTTTGATTTGAAGTGTATTTAATCCGTGTGGTTGAACATTTAGGTTTTGTTCGGGTATCTGGTCACATTTATGGCTTAATTCTGCTAAGGACAAGTATTTTTTTAAAAAAATAATTCTATACTTATGTCCGCAGGATGCCCAGGATGCCAGATTTGATATGACTGGTTAAGTCATGTAGTTTTGTTGTTTTCACAGGAGAGTGCCACAGGGTTTGCTTGTCATGTGTTAATTGGTTCTTGCATGTTCTCACTTGTAACCCAGCGTGTCCCAGTAAGTTCTTTGGTTTGTTATATCCACTCTGGTGTTTTCAAGGTGGTATTCAGACACAATGTCAATTGGGAGTGGTCAAAAATTTTTTGTATCTGTGTTTAGGATGGTGTGGAGGTTTTTGGCTGGTTTTGGTTAGGTTTGGGGTTGATGGAAGGCCTGGGGGATTTGGGTTATGGGATGTTATTATGTTTGGTTAGCGCTGTGTCTGGTATTAAGTTTTGCTGTGATAAGTGTGTCTCTGAGGTTAGTATTACGTTGGTAGGCTACAATTGGAGGTTCTTGCCATAGACTCCTCAGTGTGGGGTCATTCTCCAATATGTTCCAGTGTTTACGTAGGATGTTTGCAATGTATTTTGTGTTTGTGTTGTATGGAATGGAGAAAATTGGGCGGCTTGTGTTTTTTTGGCTTTGTTTCCTATTGAGTAGGTCTGTTTGGGTGTGTTGTAGGGCTTTGTTGAAGTTGGTGGTGATGGTGTCATGGTCATATCCACGATGGATCAGTGCAATCAGGAGGTGGTTTAGTCGTTGTTGTAATTTGTTGTTGTCTGTAATTATGCGTCTGTATCGTAGAGCCTGACTGTAGATGACTGCGTTCTTGCATGTGGTGGGGTGGAATGAGCTTTTGTGTAGTAGAAGGGTTTTGTCAGTTGGTTTAATGTACAGGTCTGATTCCAGTTTGTTGTTTTTGTTTTTGTAGATAGTTGTGTCAAGGAAGTTGACAGATTTCTCAGAGAAGGAAAAGTCAAATTTGATGGTAGGATGACAATGTCCACGTTGACTTCTAATTACCGATGATAATTTAAACACCTACTAAATAATGATACCTATATACCTACAACCTTACACTCACAATTATATGCACGTTTTACAAGCTTATCATAAAACTTCAAAATACAAACCTTAAAAACCTTGACTACCTCAAATTGATAACCCTATTCACGATTGAAACCCTCACGGTTGATGCATCGCCGAACATCGACCCACGGAAGTTTTTAGGACCCGGGGTAGTTTACTACCCACAGATGACGATATTGCACTGTAATTCTGTAATTCCTCGCCAAAAATCCAAAGCATTTCAACCCAATTTTTTATTTCATGACTGCGGTGATAAAACGGAACTTCAACAATTATAACCAACCATACTACATGAAGTACAACTCACAACCAAAACACATTTAAACCTTGGATGTCCACACACAACCATAATTGACACGTAAACCCCCACTATCCCCAACACAGACTTTGACACCTGACCTCAGTGACGTAACATATTAACGCATTTTATGCACACACGTGCAATCCTTGACCCCTTTTCGATCAAGTCTCTTGAACGGATACAAGCTCGAACACAAGCTCTGCTGTCAAGCAATTCAAAACAATTTTTAAGTAAAATTACACTCGATTTCACATCAACCCTGAGATGGCTCACCGCGTTGGTTTATCTAAAGTCAACAACAACTTTGGTAAGACACACAGTTTAATTTTACCATTTTGCCTTTTACGAATACACTCTCACGCAGGTTTGATAACTTACCTTGATTCTTTATGATTCTCCTACAAACACACACCACTTTTACTCACTTCTTATCTTCATTGTTCCTTCACACAAAGCCAACCCTGCTCCCCGCTGACGAGTCCGCAAAAGGATGAAACGCCGCGTACGGGGATACTGA